CATTTATTTATTTATATTTAAACTATTAACCCACTCTCTTTTATATACTCAGTTAAACAAACTCTGCTGGCAATATGAAGAGAAATTAAGCAATTGAGGTTAGCCGGCTTCGCTTTTCAGACGATCACTTGGTCACTGAGTTATTTTACGAGGACTTCAGAGTGGACTAAATATGGGAAGTTTATAATTACTTTTTACATTTTAGGTTCTACAGCGACTGCGCAACGTACCATTACTACATTCTTCCTGCCCAGAGACACTGTAAAAACAGTGAACATAAGCAGTGAGATGACAACACGGTATGAAAACTTTTGATTAGTATTTTGAAGACTTAACAAGGTAGTTTTTATTTTCAGCTTTTTTCTTTGTCAACTACTTTTTTTCAAATTTTAGGGAAATGATAGTGACTTTACTTCGTAAATTTAAAGTGGCTGACAATCCCAGGAAATTTTCTCTGTATGAAAGAGTATTTGACACAACAGACGGAAGCGTTGAAACTGGTAGTTTTTTCTTTTAAAGCTCCTAAAATGGTACGGTTTAATAATTCGTTTCTTTTTGCTTCATTTTCATAGTAATTTTTAACAGAGCTCATACGGGTAGCAGATGATGCTCATCCTTTACGTATCGCCCGATCGTGGGTAATGTTAAACCAGAGCAGACAATTTGTTTTACAAGAAAGTGATACGGGCGATATTTTGGTAATCCAATTTTTGTAACTTCTTTGGCGAGTTTTATTTTTTATATTTATTTTTCCTTTTTCTTCTATCGCGTATGATTTTTTCAGTGGGAAATGTTTGAAGTTCCAGAACTGGAAAATTTCCTTCGTATTTTGGCGATTGAAGAAAAGCAATACACATTTAAAATCCGGCAGAAATATAACGCTTATTTGTTAGTGGTTTCGTTTTTGAAAAATTTATTTTATTTTTGCTAATTTTTAGAAGGAAAATAGATTTGGCCGCTTCTTGTATTTTTTCTTCAAGTCGTTGTTTGGCATCTGTTAGATTGATTTTGTTTTTTTGCAATTGTACTTTCATTATCTCAGTTAATTTCGTTGCTAACTTTGTTACTGAGTAGGAAAAATACCACTAGAAAATAGATGGAGATTATAGCCATATTCTTGAAGGTTTATTAAATTTTCCTTTTTCTTGAATTGAATTTGTTTAGGTGCAATATCAATCAACAGTTACGGTTTCGAGGTTATAATGTCGAGGATAATAGTGAATGTAACGGTACTCCTGTTTAGAGTGTTACGTCAGAAAAGTTACATGAAAGAGGAAGAGACTATCGCCTAATATTGCAAAATTCTTGTGGGCTACTTCGACATTTCTCATTGTCAGTAGATTTTTCATCCATCAGCTGCTACAGTGGGATTTTGATCGCCGGATTACAAAGATTGTAAACTGGCAGGTTTTAGGCCCTAGAATGTTTTACTTTTGAGTTGTCCCATTTCTTTCTCTTCTACCTCAGTTTTAGCTGATTGAAATTTGGAGTTTTAGTAGACCTTTTTTATTTACGAGTACAAGGACTATTTCTGCACATCATTATCAATAAACGGTATGTCGCTGTTGAAAATCGATGTGTAGTCTGTTTTTCTTTTTTTGTATTGTAGATGCTAGCAACGTCATATATGTTATATGAAAAGTGGAGAAGTGATTTTGTGCCTGACTAAACTCCTTGTCTGATAGTTTTTGTGCTAGTAATGGAATTTTAAAAAAAAAGATTTTATTAGTCTGTTGTTAATGTTATAAATTTTTTTTATGTAAGGGATTTGTTGTTAAAAATTCTAATGCGAATTTTTGAGTTCCAAGTCTCAATAATTTTAGCTGAATGGTGTTCATAATTTATTGTTTTTGTGTTGTTTACTATCGTTTTTTTATTAATTGATGTAGTACTTTCCTTATTTAACGATAGCTTTAGTGAACCGAGAACTGTTTAACTGTAGGTTACTGGAAGCTTCCATAACAATTTTTCCACGTTTCAGCTGTGTCGCAGTTTTAAGCGCATTTGTTTAATTTTTTGGATCGCTCATTATGCGTTTGCTGGTTTTTCTGTTATCATTCTTCATTTGTTAAAAGTGCCATACAGCACTAAAGTTTAGTGCTAAATCTATGAAAACTTCCTAGTTTTATTTGAAAGATGATTAAGAAAATATAGGGTGACAGATGTAAATGTTATTTGGATGGGGTCCTGTCTTTCCATGTAAAATAAGTACACAGGTTGTGTGTCGCGGGTCCCGTTTTTTAAATGCATTTCGTTTGTTTAACTAAACTTTAAAATTTGTAGAAGATATTTGTATATTAGGGAGACTAATTCAATTTTATTTTAGTAGTTGTTTAATCGGTGTATTCTGTTTGTGTTTCATTTTCTTCCTGATGTCAATTTCATGTGTCATTGGTGTCAAATACTTTTAATAAACAGTCCTGAATAGTTTATTCAGTCAAGCGGTTTGGTGATTCGCAGGTTTCCACGATTAGACTTGGAAGTCGTCACTGGCGAAAGCTGTTTTTGTTCACTGCATATAGGTTTCTAACCCAGAAACATTACAATTCTCACCTGGAGTTCCTGTTGCAGTTAGACGAAGTGAGTGTACACGGGCTGTTTTTAGTGTGTGTGTGGGGGGGGGGGGAAGGGGGCTAGTAAGTTTGTAATTTGGTTATTTTTATTTCATTTCGATAGTTGTTATTAGTCTTTCTTCCCTTTTTCTCTGGTGAATTGAGATTGAAACAGATTGAAACCAGCCTGGGGTATTGACTGGACAAAATGTAATTGCAGTTAGACAAAATTTGTCTCACAAATTGCTTTGATTTAAGTTTTATTCGGGGATTTTCTGATTAACTGTTTGGTAATGAGTTGTTGGTTTTGTTGGTTATCATTGTTGTGCTTCTGTTCTTCATTGGAAGTCGTGGAAAAATTTCTGAAGCAAGTAAAACAGTTCTCTTTGTTTAGCAGTGTAACGACAAGGTGTTGTATTTAATTGCTATATGGTTAAGACAATTGGATTGTTTTTAAGAAGAAGTTGGGAATCATCGGGTTTTTTTGAAATTTATTTATTACAACTGCCAGTCTAAATAATTCAGACGGGTATGAGAAAAAAATTCTCAATTAATTATTTATTTTTAAGTTCTGTCAATGTAACAGCTATTCATCATTACTTATGTAAGTGAAGCTTAGCTATGATTTGGATGAGACTAACATTATTCTGCCTGAACAGTTTGCTAATATCTTTCTCAGTTAGTAAATTCAGCATTTAATGACATTGACTGGCGTTTGGAGAGCCTCCTGTTGATTCGTAAGCTAGACGTTCATTAGCAATCTGTAATAATATCATAAAAAAAGCAATTATCAGCTTTTTTTTTTAAAAATGAGTTGAAATTGAGACAGATTGAAATTTGACAAGAATACCGGACAGAATGTGTTCAGTCAAACAAAGTTCCTTTTTGACGGTTAAATCTTCCGAAAGAAATGCTGAACTAGAGGAAGACGTAGCTGGTAAATTTATAATTGTCAGTATTATTAGTAACCTTTATGGTATGTTAACGATCGAAAACTTGTCTTCAGAAACAACATTGGTTCTTCACATAATTGTTCTGAAAGTTGATTTATGTTTTTTTTTTTTTTTTT